GACAGTCTTGGTCTGTCCTTCACTGTCGACAAGAGTATTGAAGTAGTTACGTTGGTTGGTGATACAGAGATGAACCATTAGCTCTGAGGGTGCAGTACCAGGCCGGTCTCAGTCAGGCCAAGTTATTCTATTTCATGTTTTCTTGGGCCTTTATATGTTAGGGGAGTCCCTCCATGACCCTTGTGTCACTAGAAGGATGATCCCCATCTTTTTTGTTTCTAGTTTTTATTGTGGGTTTTTATCAGTTTTGGTAATATTGGATATTTTTGTTATTTCTCCTTTATTTCTGTATATATTTCTATTTTTCTTTATTTATTTAGTTTAATTTATATTTGCTAATTACTAGTTAAAATTATTTAAATACATTTATAAGCATTTAATATTTAAGAGAGAGTCACTTTGGTAAGGGAAACTATGTCATGTCCTGTAAGTTTATTTTACTCTCTCCTCTTGGTCACAGATCGTCTTGTTACTTCACACTCTAGTGCCTCTTGAGTTATTCTAAAGGTATAAACTATATTTACTGTGTTATTACCGTACATATGGTGGTCCTCAGTCCACATTCCTGCCACTAGGGTCCAGGTACAGGGTGTATTAATATACCTTCTCAGTGGAAACTTTTCTTTTTTTAAAGACACTGTACTGTACGTCGCCGCTCTTCAGTGACTACATTGTAGTGGAATTCTCCCCTACAAACGCTGTTTGTCGCTGAGTAGCCGACCCCACGAATTCCCCAGTGTATGTCTCGTGGTCTGGGTCAACCAGCGGCGCCATACACCACGGAGCGGGGGTCAACTACTAAGCCACGCCAATCCCCGCTATTTAAGACCTGACCTCGTGGTGACCTGTCTCTTTCTACCTACACCAACCAGCCAGCAACACCTCCTCCTCCACCGCTGCCTGGCGGTCCTCGCTCCCGCCGGCGAGCATGGCGACCCACAGGCTGGTCCTCCTCTGAGCATCCTCACCAACCAGCTCTCTCTACATCACGCTTGTAACCATGCTGCCTTCCCAGCACCAAGCTGCACTGTACATCCAATACAACATGTATACAGAGAGCACATTGTGAGTTTCCTTTCTCCACCCCATCCTGAGTGTGAACCAAACATCCTGTACCCCACACCGTCACAACACTCTCTGGTAAAAGTTCCAAGAGTTCACAACACACACACACACACACACACACACACACACGGTTAAGAGAGAAACAAATGCATAAACTAACTATTTTTATTTTTCTTATATTGTGAACTTACACAGAACTCAACTTATCTTCAGAAACAATATACCAGTACCACTTTTATCATAGAAAACAACAAACTACTATCATCGAAAAAGAGGAAACTTATCATGGAAAATGACGAACTTCTATCATCGAAAAAGAGGAAACTTGTATCATAGAAAATGGGAATTGTTATAGAAAATGGGAATCCTTATATATAATGCTTTACACATTCCTCTAATGCTCCACACACTCTACACACAACACTGCTTAAGAATCTTCGTTCCTCACTATCCTATACAAACCCCTTGACATGACAAACTAGACCCCTTGACATGACAAATTAAACCTACAGTACTTAATCCAAATATATTTAACAAATTAACATGGGCACACAAATTTAACATTATTATTATGTTAATTAGACAAGCTATTTATCTCCTGCTAACATATACAAGAATCCTTATTAAGTAGTACTGTATTGTAATCTAGGTAAACTGAATATATTATTGTATGTGATGAAATAAAAGTTGACAAAAATAGTAAAATATCTGTTCTCTGAGAAGTAATTTTTATAAGAATGTCACCAATGATTGTACAATTTGATACCAAGACCATCAACAATTTGTACCAATTACTTGTGTGTGATTGTACGATTTTAAATATCATGAACAATTTTATATCTTACCAGAGTGATTGTACGATTTTATACCAAGACCATCAACAATTTGTACCAACGTGTGTATCCTTGACTTTAGTCCAAAACTGAGGACACCTTCAATCACGGGGACATGTACTTTAGGACATGTACTCTAGGACATGTACTCTAACTGCTCATTCCTTAACTTATATAAAATACAGACAAACTAACAAATTTTCCCTAAAACACCACAAATACACATTATTTATGATATATCGATAAAATTCCTTGATATACGATTTGATCTATAAGAGTTACAAACCAAAATCCTCAGACACTTGGCAGTAAAGTTTATCTGGGATTTACGTATCCAACGGAGCTTAATTGGAACGGAATTTTAGTGTTGGCTTTCTCTGATTATTCTTCTAGTCTTGTAATAGTCAGTGAGAGCCAATATAGTACACAAGCCTGAAATAAATACCAGATATCGTCAAGTGTTCAGGGCATTTTGACTGTAACCTTGTATCTAGTGGTCGTGTTTTTTTATGAAACAATTAGTGGCCAAGCTACAAAAAATACAGGAACTTATAGTACATAATACATAACTATTTTGTATTGCTGTAATAATAGTTAAGGTCTAAATTCAATTCTAGTTCTGCGTAGTTCAGATACAATGACCAAAAACGACAACAATTTACACAGAAATCATACCGAAAAACCTCCATCAAATAAATAAATAAAAAATTCTCCTTAAGATATAAATATATACTTTTTTTATTAATCGTCTTTTAATATTCCTTACGGTATATATTACATTTGTGCGTTAATCACCAAAATAATTATACAGTAAGATGATGCTCCATTATTTGAGTTGCGTCGAGATAAATTCTGAAGTGGTTTAAATACTCAGTCATATGGCTTAAAGTGGTTTAAATACTCAGTCATATGGCTTAAAGTGGTTTAAATACTCAGTCACATGGCTTAAAGTGGTTTAAATACTCAGTCATATGGCTTAAAGTGGTTTAAATACTCAGTCATATGGCTTAAAGTGGTTTAAATACTCAGTCACATGGCTTAAAGTGGTTTAAATACTCAGTCACATGGCTTAAAGTGGTTTAAATACTCAGTCATATGGCTTAAAGTGGTTTAAATACTCAGTCACTGGCTTAAAGTGGTTTAAATACTCAGTCACATGGCTTAAAGTGGTTTAAATACTCAGTCATATGGCTTAAAGTGGTTTAAATACTCAGTCATATGGCTTAAAGTGGTTTAAATACTCAGTCATATGGCTTAAAGTGGTTTAAATACTCAGTCATATGGCTTAAAGTGGTTTAAATACTCAGTCACATGGCTTAAAGTGGTTTAAATACTCAGTCATATGGCTTATACTGTTTTATTGAGATCAGTGGCGGAGTTTAGATCTCGAGAGACTATTTGTAATTTTAGTCTCGTGGATCACCTGAACATTAACCACCCTCCCCTCCAGATAGTTTCAGGGTAGTTAACTTTCAGGATAATCTAGCTGGGGGGGGGGGAGGGGGAGGACTTCAGAGGAGCACTTCGGGGGGGGAGCTAATCATTAGGTGGTCCAATAGGGCTAAAACTGCAAATCAAATGGCCTCGTTCATCATCAAATCGCGGCCTGAACTACGCCACTGTTTAATACTGCGTAACGATGAACTAACTACCCACTACTAACAACAATCCACAATGGAACAACGACGACGACAACACTTCAATGCACTAAACCGCCTATAACGTCTACAATTAAGTAACCCTGCGAGATTCAAGCGTCTGTTTTTAAGTACGTACAATTAATCGCTTTAATCTAATCGTCGGCGACTCTCTAACTGGAACACGTACGAGGAAGCAACGCCACTCACCGCCCCACTCAGTCGTTTTTTGCGGTACAAGAGACCTTCGGTATTGCACACATACGGTTTAGTTCTGTGCTGCAACAGTGTGCGGCCTACAGGGATAGGTTTGTCTTCAGGGGAATTTGGGCAAACTTAATCTAAACTAATCTAACCCAACTTAACCTATTCTAATCTTAACTACCCCAACTTAACCCAATCTAACTATATGACAGCAAATCACCCGGAGAATTCTCATATTACACGTTCCGAAGCACTGGCCATATTGTAGAACGCAGTCGATAGTGTAAATACAAACCTCACACTTGAGACTATGGTGTAAATATCACCTCATACCGCATACCATAGCACCAACTAACGCCTACCTCTTCCGAGACCTTTATGTAAGGTCGCTAGTTTCTGGAAGACAAAATTATATTGTCCACATATCAGGGCAGGCAGCCAATATAATACTACTAACGCATTTCACGTCTTAACGACCCTAAACAAAACAACGATGAATTATGAGGGGGAGTAATGAGCTTCAGTGAGTCTTGTCGTGTTGCGTCGGGCGTGAGTCAGAGGCGGTGTCGCGATGGTGTCAAATATCTAAACACTGTATTGAATGTGTCGAACAATAGAATACTCATGTTGTCTCAGAAGTCATGTCAGGTCAGTGTGTGGATAATGCTGTAGTTATATTTCAATGACTAGTTAATGTAACACAGTCAGGTCAAGTCAGGTCATTGTGAGGATAATAGTAATGTTACAATGACTAGTTAATGTAACACAGTCAGGTCAAGTCAGGTCATTGTGAGGATAATAGTGATGTTACAATGACTAGTAGATGTCACACATTTTAAGGTCAGGTCAGGTCAGGTCGATGAAGGCGAGACACAATGAACGATACCTGTACAACACACACAAAATTAAATAGTCCAGTACGTGACTTGGACGCGAATTATCTCGTAAACTTTGGTAATGAGATCATATGGTGTTCCTTAAAATAATCATCATCCATATTGCCGAAGAATATAATAGAGCCTTCACCAGCCTGCTAGTGAACTAAGGCGTGATAATTACAATGGAGTTATCGTAGGAATTATACACATGCTCTCTGATGCCACATAGAGCAATTATTAGTTTCTAAGGTGATTATCAGGGGGCCGAGGAGGTTGGATTATCGTCGTGAAGATTTATCCTAATTTCACGATTCGGATTATTTGAGGAGTCGATATCCATCCCGGATTATTTTACCTGTAGATTAATCACCTTGTGAGTATTTATAAGGGTATGTTAGGATAAGAAAGGATGGATTAAGTTAGTGTTAGGGTAGGATAGGTTAGGATAGGTCTAACCATTAGGGTGGTTTTAATCTTTAGGTTGATATAATCCAGAGTGGATATTCCCCAGGCAGTCCCAGGATTCCGAAAAAGGATTTACGAAGAATGTGTTTTTAATTGTTTTTACGTCTAATGAAAAACAAAGTCCTGATTCTTGTTGTGAGCGGAACACTGAGCACGTGGGGGTGGGGGGATGGGTGGGGTAGGGGATTAGACCAGGACGACGGCTAAGGTGAGGAGTTGTATATTACCGATGGTGGAGGTTTCATCCCAAGGTTCCGAGATGATGCGGAGGTTTTTTTTTTTCTTCACCGAGGTAACTGGTTGGATGGCATTCTGTACATCCGAGCACTTGTAGTAGTTATTCCGTGGGGGGTCTAAATTACGGTCAATTTTTCCATCTAACGGGTCATAGGGGAGGGGGGGGGAGGGGCCGTAGAATGAGGTGTGTTTTATGTAACAGTTCCATCTAATGAAGACTATCTATCTGACAGGTCAAGGTCACACGAACCAGACGAGAAGCTTCGCCCCTAACTACACATCCCGGCGGTCTTCCTGCACATCTCTACCCTGTCCAGAAGACACCTTACGCATCTTTCTCCTCTGTAAATGATCTCGCAACTTCCTGATCTGTCTGACGGTGTCGTAGACCTTGGGACAGTTCTGCTGGGAGGCCACGTCGACTATAGAGCCATCGCCGGGGTGAAGCGGCGCCCCACTGCTGAATTTGTTCCAGAGGTGGATGCCTATGGTATCTGGTGGCCATCTCCAGGAGTTACTACCACTGGGGGCGAACAGTTCCTCCCACCGCTTCCAGTGTAAGGGGTAGAAGGTGGAGGGAGCTGTAGGGGGGAGTGTTACCTTAAGATTACATGTTTAAAATTATTTAACCTGTGGATTAAACTTAACCTAATGCTAACCTAACCTGACATTAACATACTAATCTAACTTACTGCTAATCTAACCTAACCTGATGATAAAGACATCTCAGTAAAGAAGCAATACTCACCAACCATTACCAGATCTTTACACTGATGCACGTCTGATATATTCTGCATGTTACACGCCTTCCTCACTACCCTCTGGAACACGCCTGGACCATTGTGCCCCCAGACGTTACCTTGGAAGTGTTCGGTCAATTCCCTGATAGCTTCATCGCAAATCCAATGGTCTTTGGGAATCCTGCGGGACGGAATATGGCATTGGTCAAACTGGAGATGTTTTGTGAGATGTGGCAAGGCTGTGGGAGGATTAACCAGTCTCCTTACTCTGGTTAGTTTTGTGGGGTTCATTTGGGCCATTCAGGGGGGGTTTATTGCTGTGTAAATAAGCACAGCGTTGCCACATCTTACAAAATATGCCAATCAGTGTATTAAATATATAGACAATTCAGGTATACAGTTCACCATGTATCTAGACAACTCAGGTATACAGTTCACCATGTATCTAGACAACTCAGGTATACAGTTCACCATGTATCTAGACAACTCAGGTATACAGTTCACCATGTATCTAGACAATTCAGGTATACAGTTCACCATGTATCTAGACAACTCAGGTATACAGTTCACCATGTATCTAGACAATTCAGGTATACAGTTCACCATGTATCTAGACAATCAGGTATACAGTTCACCATGTATCTAGACAATTCAGGTATACAGTTCACCATGTATCTAGACAATTCAGGTATACAGTTCACCATGTATCTAGACAATTCAGGTATACAGTTCACCATGTATCTAGACAATTCAGGTATACAGTTCACCATGTATCTAGACAATCAGGTATACAGTTCACCATGTATCTAGACAATTCAGGTATACAGTTCACCATGTATCTAGACAATTCAGGTATACAGTTCACCATGTATCTAGACAATTCAGGTATACAGTTCACCATGTATCTAGACAATTCAGGTATACAGTTCACCATGTATCTAGACAATTCAGGTATACAGTTCACCATGTATCTAGACAATTCAGGTATATATTTCAAACAAACTTCAAACTTATGGGAAATTTACCAAATATCAATCGATCGTCACACACCCTAAACTGACCAACAGACTCACTTAAAGGCACCGTTTGATAGTTGATCCCAGCGTTCTCGGCCAATCCAAGACTCGGTGTTCGGCAGAGGGGCGACTATCCACATATCCATGTCTAGATATGTCCCGCCCACTGAGCACACCACGCCTAGCCTCAACGCGTCTGATAGGTTGATACCTGCCCATTCTGAGGATAGGGTTAGGTTAGTGTTATTGTTTGGGGGGCTGGTTGGGTTAGGTTAGGTTTGGTTGGGTTTGGTTAGGTTTGGTTGGGTTAGGTTGAGTTAGGTTGGGTTTGGTTGGGTTTGGTTAGGTTAAATACATAAATATGACGACTTCATGACTCTTCCCACGCCTTCACCCACCCACCCCACCCACTCCATCCCACTTACCACTTCGTGCCCATTCCATTCCGCGTAGCCACTTGCTCAGCCGTCCACTTCCCTCCAGGGCGTCATCCACATCGAGCGTTGAGATGTGTATGTTGCTGTAGGTCGTGAGGGTGTGGATGATGGCATCCGTCCCACTTACATGGCTGGATGTGAGAGCCAGGTGAACTTGGTGATCCGGATGATGGATAGCCACACTTTCCAACGCACACGCCTGTAGTTAAGTGTTCAGTTTAGAGTTGGATTTAAGTGGACAGTCGTAATTTAAGTGGACAGTCGTAATTTAAGTGGACAGTAAGGAATTAAGTGGACAGTAAGGAATTAAGTGGACAGTCGTAATTTAAGTGGACAGTAAGGATTTAAGTGGACAGTCGTAATTTAAGTGGACAGTAAGGAATTAAGTAGACAGTCGTAATTTAAGTGGACAGTAAGGAATTAAGTGGACAGTAAGGAATTAAGTAGACAGTCGTAATTTAAGTGGACAGTAAGGAATTTAGTGGAGAGTAAGGAATTAAGTAGACAGTCTATAATTTAGTGGACAGTAAGGAATTGACAGACAGACAGAGAATCCTCTACCTATTTGCTTACCTCTGAACCCTCCCTGACCCACACCTCTGAACCCACCCTGACCCACACCTCTGAACCCACCCAGACCCACACCTCTGAACCCTCCCTGACCCACGCCTCTGAACCCTCCCTGACCCACACCCTGAACCCTCCCTGACCCACACCCTCTGAACCCTCCCTGACCCACACCTCTGAACCTCCTGACCCACACCTCTGAACCCTCCCTGACCCACACCTCTGAACCCTCCCCTGACCCACACCTCTGAACCCTCCCCTGACCCACACACCTCTGAACCCTCCCGGACCCACACCTCTGAACCTCCTGACCCACACCTCTGAACCCTCCCTGACCCACACCTCTGAACCCTCCTGACCCACACCTCTGAACCCTCCCTGACCCACACCTCTGAACCTCCCCTGACCCACACCTCTGAACCTCCTGACCCACACCTCTGAACCCTCCCGACCCACACCTCTGAACCTCCCCTGACCCACACCTCTGAACCCTCCTGACCCACACCTCCAGGGAACGTGAAGGAAGGAAGGAAGGGAGGAATGGGGATAAAGAGAGGGGAGGAGGAGGAGGAGAAGGAGGAGGAGGAGGAGGAGGAGGAGGAAGAAGAGGAGGAGGAGGAGAAGAGGAGGAGGAGGAGGAGGAGGGAGGAGGAGGGAGGAGGAGGGAAGAAGAGGAGGAGGAGAAGAGGAGGAGGAGGAGGGAGGAGGAGGAGGAGGAGGAGGAGGAGGAGGAGGAGGAGGAAGAAGAGGAGGAGGAGAGAGATAAAATCAATACTTAGTAACAGTGTCCAGAGAGAGAGAGAGAGAGAGAGAGAGAGTTAACCAGTCTGTCTTTCTATCAACATCTAAATACACAACCAACCAACCAACCAACCAACCAACCAACCAACCAGCCAACCAACCAGCCAACCAACCAGCCAACCAACCAGCCAACCAGCCAACCAACCAGCCAACCAACCAACCAACCAACGCCAACCAACCAACCAACCAGCCAACCAACCAACCAACCAACCAACCAACCCCAACAACCAGCAACCAACCAACCAACCAGCCAACCAACCAACCAACCAACCAACCAGCCAACCAACCAACCAGCAACCAACCAACCAACCAGCCAACCAACCAACCAACCAACCAACACCAACCAACCAGCCAACCAACCAACCAGCCAACCAACCAACCAACAACCAAACCAACCAACAACAACCAACCAACCAGCCCCCAGCCAGCCAGCCAACCAACCAACCAACCAACCAGCAACCAACCAGCCAACCAGCCAACAACCAGCCAACAACCAACCAGCCAACCAACCATCCAACCAACCAACCAACCAACCAGCCAACCAACCAACCAACCAACCAACCAACCAACCAGCAACCAACCAACCAGTCAACCAGCCAACCAGTCAACCAACCAACCAACCAACCAACCAACCAACCAACCAACCAACAACCAGCCAACAAGCCAACCAACCAACCATCCAACCAACCAACCAACCAACCAACCAACCAACCAGCCAACCAGCCAACCAACCAACCAACCAACCAACCAACCAACCAACCAACCAACCAACCAGTCAACCAGCCAACCAGTCAACCAACCAACCAGCCAACCAACCAACCAGCCAACCAACCAACCAACCATCCCCACCTACCATCTTAGCATTGAGAGCAGAAGCACATGTCGTCTCCAAGAAGAAAACATTTTTATCTGACGGTGTAGCGGTAAACTTGGGTAACCTGACGGGGAAAGGTGGAGTACTGGTGTGTGGGGTACAGGTGGCAGATCTCCAGCCCCCTCCTTCGACTCCCATCACCACATCAATAGCGAAATGGTCTTCATAATCTGCCACGACTGCTGGAAGACTCGGGGGCAGTCGACCAGCTGAGGGGGTGAGAAGTTTGTTTATGTCCAGGGTCTGTTGTTAAACCTCCATATAATGAACTATATGGGGATGAAAGGCCATTATATCGAGGGTCTGTTGTTAAACCTCCATATAATGAACTATATGGGGATGAAAGGCCATTATATCGAGGGTCTGTTGTTAAACCTCCATATAATGAACTATATGGGGATGAAAGGCCATTATATCGAGGGTCTGTTGTTAAACCTCTATATAATGAACTATATGGGGATGAAAGGCCATTATATCGAGGGTCTGTTGTTAAACCTCCATATAATGAACTATATGGGGATGAAAGGCCACAGGTCGAGGGTCTGTTAAACCCATATAAATGAACTATAGATGAAAGGCCATTATACGAGGGTCTGTTGTTAACCTCCATATAATGAACTATATGAGATGAAAGGCCATTATATCGAGTTGTTGTGAAACCTCCATATAATGAACTATATGGGGATGAAAATAATATATCGAGGGTCTGTTGTTAAACCTCCATATAATGAACTATATGGGGATGAAAGGCCATTATATCGAGGGTCTGTTGTTAAACCTCCATATAATGAACTATATGGAGATGAAAGGCCATTATATCGAGGGTCTGTTGTTAAACCTCCATATAATGAACTATATGGGGATGAAAGGCCATTATATCGAGGGTCTGTTGTTAAACCTCCATATAATGAACTATATGGAGATGAAAGGCCATTATATCGAGGGTCTGTTGTTAAACCTCCATATAATGAACTATATGGAGATAAAGTCCATTATATCGAGGGTTCACTTACAGATACTTAACACTAAAATCAAAATGAGTTACTTACAAAATTTACTTAAACAAAACACATAATTTAAGTAACTGAGTGTTACTTGGAGGGACAAATTTGCTACTTAACGCATAATTAAGTAACTAAGGAACGTTACTTACAAAGACACTTAAAACCTGCTACTTAACACACCATTAAGTAACTAAGGAACGTTACTTACAAAGACACTTAAAACCTGCTACTTAACACACCATTAAGTAACTAAGGAACGTTACTTACGAAGACACTTAAAACCTGCTACTTAACACACCATTAAGTAACTAAGGAACGTTACTTACGAAGACACTTAAAACCTGCTACTTTAATAATTTCATTAAGTAACTAAGAGATGTTACTACGAAGACAATTAAAAACCTACATTTAACACACCATTAAGTAACTAAGGAACGTTATTTCATAAAGACACTTAAAACCTGCTACTTAACACACCATTAAGTAACTAAGGAACGTTACTTACGAAGACACTTAAAACCTGCTACTTAACACACCATTAAGTAACTAAGGAACGTTACTTACGAAGACACTTAAAACCTGCTACTTAACACACCATTAAGTAACTAAGAGACGTTACTTACGAAGACACTTAAAACCTGCTACTTAACACACCATTAAGTAACTAAGAGACGTTACTTACGAAGACACTTAAAACCTGCTACTTAACACACCATTAAGTAACTAAGAGACGTTACTTACCAACAAGTAACTTGATGAACAGTAGCAGCACCAACACGCCCACCATCACGCCGCCCATCATGGTTCGTGAGGACGCCCACGCCCGCATCATGGTGAAAAACGTCATCCCACGCCCGCACCGCCCACCGCTGCACTCCAACCCCGCCCGCTGACCTGCCTGTGGGCGTGTGAGTGGTTAGTGGGCGTGTTTTATATACACACACACACACACACACACACACACACACACACACACACACACACACACCTGCATCAACTGCCTTACCACACGTGTGCAGATAAATATACGCACATCTGTACATTTAGACAGGTGTACACGACAGAACTTTATGTATACCTGACAGCTGAGAGAGAGAGAGAGAGAGAGAGAGAGAGAGAGAGAGAGAGAGAGAGAGAGAGAGAGAGAGAGAGAGAGAGAGAGAGAGAGAGAGAGAGAGAGAGAGAGAGAGAGAGAGAGAGAGAGAGAGAGAGAGAGAGAGAGAGAGAGAGAGAGAGAGAGACAGAGAGAGAGAGACAGAGAGAGAGAGACAGAGAGAGAGACAGACCTACCGTACACCAGTAACAGTGCCGTAATACCAAGATAGGTCTTGTTCGGGTCATCTGTTGCCTCTGTGACCTTTTGTGGGGTCAGGTCACCACGCCAAGGTCACCTCAACACGTCAGCAACATGTTAGGTCAGGTTGGGTTAGATTAGGTTAGGTTATGACGTTTCCTTGGGTAACGTCGTGTTTGTCCTGAGCTGTGATTGGTTCCCTTTCAGGCCATGGCGGTCTCTGATTGGCTGTCCTCCGTACAGTGGTGGGCTGTGATTGGTTGATTGCAATGGTCACTGTATGGTTGGGGTCAGGATGATGGTGATCTGTGATTGGCTGTCCTCCAAGCAACGGGAGTCCGCAATTGGCTGTCGTCTAGGCAATGATGTGCTGTGATTGGCTGGCATCCAAACCATTGAAATAACTTGCAATAACATTAACATTAACAATTATTTCTTCACAAATTATAAATAATCTTAACAAACACTTAAGTCAATAACATTTCACTTAAGTTCGTATCTCGAGTCATTGTCCTAAGTGATTGTCATGACCCCGCGTCCTCCCTCTTGGCTCATAGTGACGTCATTGTTTCCTTGGTCCAACTGAGCATTCACAACCTGAGAAAAAAAATTATTATTATTATTATCATCATTATTATTATTATTATCATTATTATTATTGTTGTTATTATTATTATCGTTATTATTTATTATTATTGTTATTTTAAAACATTGTGGATGATAAAAAAAAAACCCACACTTGAACGTCGAAATGATAATAAACAAACAATGAATGCGGATTAAGAATGCGGATTTTTACACATTTAAATGGAAGATAAATCAGGGGAGGAAGTGCTTAGAAATGAAGGGAGGGAAGGAGGGAGAGAGGGAGGGAGAGAGGGTGAGAGGGAGGGAAAGAGGATAGTGACGCATTTTTGTAACATCCGCTCTCTCTCTCTCTCTCTGTCCACCCCAGTCAGAGCTCAGTACCTCGTCAGTATTCATGCGAGTCGTCGAATTTTAACACAACTGTTACCATTTTTTTTTTACTTTTATCTTCTTCACCACTGATCGGTTCGTTAGCCGCTTGGACGATCGGTCACGTCTCTGTTGGCATGTACTGGCTCTCTGTTACACACTGTTGGCAAGTACTGGCTCTGTTACACACTGTTGGCAAGTACTGGCTCTCTGTTACACACTGTTGGCAAGTACTGGCTCTGTTACACACTGTTGGCAAGTACTGGCTCTCTGTTACACACTGTTGGCATGTACTGCTCTCTCTGTTACACACTGTTGGCAAGTACTGGCTCTCTCTGTTACACACTGTTGGCATGTACTGCCTCTGTTACCATGTTGGCATGTACTGCCTCTGTTACACACTGTTGGCAAGTACTGGCTCTCTGTTACACACTGTTGGCATGTACTGGCTCTCTGTTACACACTGTTGGCAAGTACTGGCTCTGTTACACACTGTTGGCAAGTACTGGCTCTCTGTTACACACTGTTGGCATGTACTGGCTCTCTGTTACACACTGTTGGCATGTACTGGCTCTCTGTTACACACTGTTGGCAAGTACTGGCCTCTGTTACACACTGTTGGGAACTGGCTCCTGTTCACACTGTTGCGAACTGGCTCTGTTACACACTGTTGGCAAGTACTGGCCTGTTACTGGGAGTACTGGCCTCTGTTACACACTGTTGGCAGTACTGGCATGTACTGGCCTCTGTTGCCCACTGTTGGCACTGGGTATCTGGCCTCTGTTACACCGCTGGCATAGTACTGGCTCTCTGTTACACACTGGCGTACTGGCTCTCTGTTACACACTGGCAAGTACTAGGCATGTACTGGCTCGCTGCACACTGTTGGCACTGGGCATGTACTGGCCTCTGTTGTTACAACTGCTGGCAAGTATTGGGTACTGGCTCTCTGTTACACACTGTTGGCATGTACTGGCCTCTGTTATTGGCATGTACTGGCCCTGGTTACACTGTTGGCAAGCATGGCCCTCTGTTACACACTGTTGGCGCATTGGCTCTCTGTTACACACTGTTGGCAAGTATCTTCTGTTACACACTGTTGGCAAGTACTGGGTATGTACTGCTCTCTGTTACACACTGTTGGCGGGATTGCATGTACTGGCTCTCTGTTACACACTGTTGGGCACTACCTCGTTACTCACTGTTGGCAATGGCTCTGTTACACACTGTTGGAAGTATGGGATGCTGGCTCTCGTTAACTGTTGGCAAGTACTGGGCATGTACTGGCTCTCTGTTACACACTGTTGGCAAGTACTGGGCATGTACTGGCTCTCTGTTACACACTGCAGTGGCATAGTACTTGGCTCTCTGTTACACACTGTTGGCAAGTACTGGGCATGTACTGGCTCTCTGTTACACTTTGAAGTACTGATGTACTGACTCTCTGTTACACACTGTTGGCAAGTACTAGGCATGTACTGGCTCTGTTACACACGTTGGTAGATTGCTGTTTGTTAACTGTTGGCAAGTACTGCATGTCTGACTTCTGTTACACACTGTTGGCATTTAGCTCTGTTATCACTGTTGGCAAGTACTAGAAAATGTACTGGCTCCTGAATGTACCTGAACCTGCTCCAGTGTTGGTCGAACTGGTCTTGAAGAGCTCACACTGGTGCCGTCACAACACTCTCTGGTAGATTGTTCCAACAGTTCACAGCTCACACTCGGTGCCCACAACAATCTCTGGTAGATTGTTCCAACAGCTCACACTGTGCCGTCACAACACTCTCTGGTAGATTGTTCCAACAGTTCACAGCTCACACCCGTGTCACAACACTCTCTGGTAGATTGTTCCAACAGCTCACGTCACACTCGCTGCTAAACACTCTCTGGTAGATTGTTCCAACAGTTCACAGCTCACACTCGGTGCCGTCACAACACTCTCTGGGATTGTTCCAACAGCTCACACTCGGTGCCGTCCACTCTCTGGTAGATGTTCCAACAGTTCACAACTCACACTCGGTGCCGTCACAACACTCTCAGATTGTTCCAACAGTTCGCTCACACAGACTCTTGGCTCAACAGCTTACACTCGGTGCCGTCACAACACTCTGTAGATTGTTCCAACAGTTCACAACCACACCTGGTGCCGTCACAACACTCTCTGGAGATTGTCCAACAGTTCACAGCTCACACTGGTGCCGTCACAACACTCTCTGGGGATTTGTCCCACAGTTTACAGCTCACACTGGTGCCGTCAACACTCTCTGTAGAGGTTCAACAGTCTACAGCCACACTCTGTCACAACACTCTTAGATTGTTCCAACAGTTCACAGCTCACACTGGTGCCGTCACAACACTCTCTGGTAGAGTGTTCCAACAGTTCACAGCTCACACTGGTGCCGTCACAACACTCTCTGGTAGTGTTCCAACAGTTCTCACAGCTCACACTCGGTGCCGTCAAACACTCTCTGGTGATTGTTCCAAGTTCACAGCTCACACTGGTGCCCACAACACTCTCTGAGATTGTTCAGCAGTTCACACTGGTGCCCTCTGTGATTGTTCCAACAGTTCACAGCTTACACTGTGCCGTCAACACTCTCTGTAGATTGTTCCAACAGTTCACAACTCACACTCGGTGCCGTCACAACACTCTTCTGGTACAATTCACAGTTCACACTCGGTGCCGTAAACACTCTCTGGTAGAGTGTTCCAACAGCTTCAGCTCACACTCGGGCCACAAACACCTCGGTAGATTGTTCCAACAGTTCACAGCTCACACTGCCGTCACAACACCTCTGGTAGTGTTTCAACAGTCACAGCTCACACTGTCACAACACTCTCTAGAGTTCAACAGTTCACAGCTCACACTCAGTGCCAACACTCTCTCTGGTAGATTGTTCCAACAGTTCACAGCTCACACTCGGTGCCGTCACAACACTCTCTGGGATTGTTCCAACAGTTCACAGTTCACACTCGGTGCCGTCACAACACTCTCTGGTAGATTGTTCCAACAGTTCACACACACACACACTTTGTACCGATTAAAATTGTAGTGGATTTCTCCCCTACAAACGCTGTTAGTCGCTGAGTAGCCGACCCCCACCCCCAGTGTATGCCTCGTGGTCTAGGTCAACCAGCGGCGTCACATACCACGGAGCGGGGTCAACTCACTGCCACCAACTTCGTTTAAGACCTGACCTCGTGGTGACCTGTCTTTTCTACCTACACCAACCAGCCAGTAACACCTTCTCCTCCTCTCGCCTGGTGGTCTGCTCCTGCCGGCGAGGGCATGGCGACCCGCTGTGTCCTTTCGAGCACCCTCACCAACCAGCTTCTCATATCTGCTTGTAAATACGCTGCCTTCCCAGCACCAAGCTGCATTGTACATCCAATACAACATGTATACAGAGAGCACATTGTGAGTTTCCTTTCACCATCCCATCCTGAGTGTGAACCAAACATCCTGTACCCCACAAAATCTATACCGGATATCCTAAAACAACTAAACGAACACAGAGTCTAACCTAACCTTACCAATACACAAATTCATTCCTTCTACTTACTATCCAGTCTCCTATCCTGTACTATCCATTCTTCTCTTTACTATCCTCTATCCTTACCAACGTTACCTCCCTGAGACCAGTTACTAAATGTGGTAAAAAAAAATTGTCCCAAATTTTAAGCGATATCGTAACTGATTTCGCTATCCTGCCTCGTCGCTCGTTAGCCCGCTCCGTTCTTATCAATCACCTCGTTACCCGTATGTTAAGGCAGGTGTGGGAGGTGGGTATTTTAACACTGATAAAAAGAGGTCATGTTGCCACTGTTAACTAGCTGTGGACTTCACTAAACGCGGCCCAAACAAACCCAACTTGCCTAAATTGGCTGATTAGTACCAGCTAGCTTAATTGTTTTTCTTAAGGGATCATTAGGTCTCACTACCAGTCACGCACAGATTAACAGAGACCGATTGGTGATCACAATGCGTCATGCGTCTCTTGGGGTAGTGGATAGTCTCAGTTCACCACCCCTCTACTGAAGTACTGAATGTGGATGATGTAGACACCAAATAAGTCAAATTAAATCACCACCAACTCATCACCACGAAGGAGACTCACCACCAGTGCTCAGTTGACTTGACCAACATCACCAACATCAGGAAAAACAGTCAAAACAAACAAACAGACGTCCTGAACTGGTAGCTAAGAGTTTTAGTTGTTTTATTAAAAGGAATGTTTTAATTCTCAAGTCCTTGATTGAGACGCGTTAATGGTGGGGTGTGATGGTGTAGGAACGCTCGCCTCACTAAGGTCACAGCTCAAGGTTGAAGAAGCCACGTCCAGAAAACTGTGAGGGCAAACTTTTTCGGAGTGAGAATTGTGAACTGTTGGAACACCCAGAGAGTGTTGTGACGGCACCGAGTGTGAGTTGTGAACTGTTGGAACAATCTACCAGAGAGTGTTGTGACGGCACCGAGTGTGAGCTGTGAACTGTTGGAACAATCTACCAGAGAGTTTTGTGACGGCACCGAGTGTGAGTTGTGAACTGTTGGAACACCCAGAGAGTGTGACGGCACCGAGGTGTGAGCTGTGAACTGATGGAACAATCTACCAGAGAGTGTTGTGACGGCACCGAGTGTGAGTTGTGAACTGTTGGAACAATCTACCAGAGAGTGTTGTGACGGCACCAAGTGTGAGCTGTGAACTGATGGAACAATCTACCAGAGAGTGTTGTGACGGCACCGAGTGTGAGTTGTGAACTGATGGAACAATCACCAGAGAGTGTTGGACGGCACCGAGTGTGAGTTGTGAACTGTTGAACAATCTACCAGAGAGTGTTGTGACGGCACCGAGTGTGAACTGTGAACTGTTGGAACAATCTACCAGAGAGGTTGACGGCACCGAGTGAGTTGTGAACTGTTGGAACAATCTACCAGAGAGTGTTGTGACGGCACCGATTGAGCTGGAACTGATGGAACAATCTACCAGAGAGTGTTGTGACGGCACCGAGGTGTGAGCTGTGAACTGATGGAACAATCTGCCAGAGAGTTGACGGCACCGAGGTGAGCTCTTCAAGACCAGACTTGACCAACACTGGAGCAGGTTCAGGTACATTCAGGAGCCGTACATGCCTAGTACTTGCCAACAGTGTACAGAGAGTTACATGCCCAGTACTGCCAACAGTGTGTAACAGAGAGCCAGTACATGCCCAGTACTTACCAACAGTGTAAAAGAGAGAGTGGCATGCCCAGTACGCCAACAGTGTATAACAGAGAGCCAGTACATACCCAGTACTTGCCAACAGTGTGAACAGAGAGCCAGTACATACCCAGTACTTGCCAACAGTGAACTGAGAGCCGTAATTAGTACTTGCCAACAGTGTGTAACAGAGAGCCAGTACATGCCCAGTACTTACCAACAGTGTATAACAGAGAGCCAGTACATGCCCAGTACTTGCCAACAGTGTGTAACAGAGAGCCAGTACATGCCCAGTACTTGCCAACAGTGTGTAACAGAGAGCCAGTACATGCCCAGTACTTACCAACAGTGTGTAACAGAGAGCCAGTACATTCCCAGTACTTGCCAACAGTGTGTAACAGAGAGCCAGTACATGCCCAGTACTTGCCAACAGTGTGTAACAGAGAGCCAGTACATGCCCAGTACTTACCAACAGTGTATAACAGAGAGGCAAAGTACACATACCCAGTACTTGACAACAGTGTGTAACAGAGAGCCAGTACTTGCCAACAGTGTGTAACAGAGAGCCAGTACACGCCCAGTACTTGCCAACAGTGTGTAACAGAGAGCCAGTACTTGCCAACAGTGTATAACAGAGAGCCAGTACATGCCCAGTGTGTTAATAAATATAATATCTCCATATGAACTTCGTAACAAAACGCTAAAAATAAAATAACTATTGGCCGAGTGTCTGTAAATATGCGTTAAAGATGGCGGAGTTTGTTTACATGAACCTAGGAGCCGTTGTCCGAATTCCTGAAATATTGGCGACATTCTTAAAATAAAATGCATATATAACCATCCTTCTCAGAGTTAAAACATCCTTCTCAGAGCTAAACCACACCTTCTCAGAGTTAAACCATACCTTCTCAGAGTTAAACCATCCTTCTCAGAGCTAAACCATACCTTCTCAGAGTTAAACCATCCTTCTCAGAGTTAAACCATCCTTCTCAGAGCTAAACCATACTACTCAGAGTTAAACCATCCTTCTCAGAGTTAAACCATCCTTCTCAGAGCTAAACCATCCTTCTCAGAGCTAAACCATCCTTCTCAGAGCTAAACCATACTACTCAGAGTTAAACCATCCTTCTCAGAGTTAAACCATCCTTCTCAGAGTTAAACCATCCTTCTCAGAGCTAAACCATCCTTCTCAGAGTTAAACCATCCTTCTCAGAGTTAAACCATCCTTCTCAGAGCTAAACCATCCTTCTCAGAGTTAAACCATCCTTCTCAGAGCTAAACCATCCTTCTCAGAGTTAAACCATCCTTCTCAGAGCTAAACCATCCTTCTCAGAGTTAAACCATCCTTCTCAGAGTTAAACCATCCTTCTCAGAGTTAAACCATCCTTCTCAGAGTTAAACCATACCTTCTCAGAGTTAAACCATCCTTCTCAGAGTTAAACCATCCTTCTCAGAGTTAAACCATCCTTCTCAGAGTTAAACCATCCTACTCAGAGTTAAACCATCCTTCTCAGAGTTAAACCATCATTTATTTAAGTAGTAAGCAGTGTACATTCAATGTCGAATAAATTTTACGCTAATAAATCTTTCCATTTCACTCTTGATGCACAAAAAATTCCCCCCAAAATATTAAAAATTATGTAATATTATTTTTAATGTTAATACGTGGAGCAATATTATATAAAAATAATATATTTTTAAACGATTTACAGACGTAATTCACGGGTTATACATCAAATATCACTACATAAATCAATTAACCCGTATTTGATTAATCCTTTGGTTTATAGTAGTTTAGAGATGAGGTTTAAATTGATGTTACTTATAAAATGGGGGTGAATAATACTTACTTATGTGATGGTACAGTAGATTATCCAAGAGCTCGTTGATGTACACCCTTCACCCACCACTGCCAGAGCCATACTGAGGAGAGAGGCAACACGCAGCAGACGACAGGAGCAAGTTGACACATTACACCTTGCTATACTAAACACCTCCTGACACCTTCCCACTTATGACACAACTTCTAACTGTGTCATATATCGATAGAGGAAAGATCAATAATGATACTTAATGATAAAAAATATTAAAAACTAAAATAGGAAACGAGAAATAAGGTAAAAATAAAACGTTAAATGGCAGCGGCTTGGCTGGGTGTGAGAGGGTGAGACGGTATGATTCTCGGATTGATCTTTAATGTCAATGTCAAGGTGAATTAAATTGATTTTATCTAATAACACGAACACCTGACCCCAGTTGACCTTATCTGACACTACGGCGGATGACACTATCTAACACTTAACACTTGAATATATTAGATTATATTTAAATTAATAAGGAAAACAGATATAAACAAGGAATGAAGACCTAGACGGTATGAGTCTCGGATGGTAGGTGAATCAAAACAAAACGAATAAATGAATAAATTACAATAAAAATTAATAAATTATAATAGACAAAATAAGAAGATAAATGATAAATAAAAGAAGAACAAGAGATAGAGAAAATGACGATAAGAGCAAAAGTAAACAAAGAAGGATACGATTACAAATAAAAATATACAATGAATAAATGAGAAGAACAAGAAAAATGGATAAATTAAGGAATAAGAGATGGCAGGGTTAATAGTTACACACACAGACACACATACACACACACAGAGCCACTACACACACACAGAGCCACTACACACACAGCCGGGTTCTCACGAGGGAATAAACATGACAATAATATTCAGAATAAATTACCAACCACGTCTAGCAGATGAAGGAGATGAAGGACGGTACACAGAGTCCTATACCGAGAAAATGTCCTATTGTACTCTCAACAGGACGCTACACAGAGTCCTATACCGAGAAAATGTTCTACTGTACTCTCAACAGGACGCTACACAGAGTCCTATACCGAGAAAATGTTCTATTGTACTCTCAACAGGACGCTACACAGAGTCCTATACCGAGAAAATGTCCTATTGTACTCTCAACAGGACGCTACACAGAGTCCTATACCGAGAAAATGTCCTACTGTACTCTCAACAGGACGGTACACAGAGTCCTATACCGAGAAAATGTCCTTCTGTACTCTCAACAGGACGCTACACAGAGTCCTATACCGAGAAAATGTCCTATTGTACTCTCAACAGGACGCTACACAGAGTCCTATACCGAGAAAATATCCTATTGTACTCTCAACAGGACGGTACACAGAGTCCTATACCGAGAAAATGTCCTATTGTACTCTCAACAGGACGCTACACAGAGTCCTATACCGAGAAAATGTCCTAATGTACTCTCAACAGGACGCTACACAGAGTCCTATACCGAGAAAATGTCCTATTGTACTCTCAACAGGACGGTACACAGAGTCCTATACCGAGAAAATATCCTATTGTACTCTCAACAGGACGCTACACAGAGTCCTATACCGAGAAAATGTCCTATTGTACTCTCAACAGGACGGTACACAGAGTCCTATACCGAGAAAATATCCTATTGTACTCTCAACAGGACGGTACACAGAGTCCTATACCGAGAAAATATCCTATTGTACTCTCAACAGGACGCTACACAGAGTCCTATACCGAGAAAATGTCCTAATGTACTCTCAACAGGACGGTACACAGAGTCCTATACCGAGAAAACCTATTGTACTCTCAACAGGACGGTACACAGAAACCTATACTGAGAAAATGTCCCATTGTACTGCTAACAGGACGCTACACAGAGTCCTATACCGAGAAAATGTCCTAATACCTCAACAGGACGGTACACAGAGTCCTATACCGAGAAAATGTCCTATTGTACTCTCAACAGGATTGCACACAGAGTCCTATACCGAGAAAATGTCCTAATGTACTCTCAACAGGACGGTACACAGAGTCCTATACCGAGAAAATGTCCTATTGTACTCTCAACAGGACGGTACACAGAGTCCTATACCGAGAAAATGTCCTATTGTACTCTCAACAGGACGCTACACAGAGTCCTATACCGAGAAAATGTCCTAATGTACTCTCAACAGGACGGTACACAGAGTCCTATACCGAGAAAATGTCCTATTGTACTCTCAACAGGACGCTACACAGAGTCCTATATCGAGAAAATGTTCTATTGTACTCTCAACAGGACGGTACACAGAGTCCTATACCGAGAAAATATCCTACTGTACTCTCAACAGGACGGTACACAGAGTCCTATACCGAGAAAATATCCTATTGTACTCTAAACAGTTCGCTACACAGAGTCCTATACCACAACACCTTCCTCTGTACTCATATACCCGTGTAAATTATATAAATCATTGTAAGGAAGTAAGTCAATTAAAGTGTAATTATCTGCCCGTATCTGTGACCCTATCTTGTTATTGCTATGTAAACAATAAACAGCTGACCTATGTAAACAATGGCATAATCTGAGAGAGAGAGAGAGAGAGAGAGAGAGAGAGAGAGTCTAAGTGAAAATATCTAGTTCAGGTAAAGTCTCAAGTGTTAATTTAGTCTCCTAATTGGTGTTAAATTAAGGTAATCTAGTTAAATTAAACACATAAGGTTAAAGAAATAATTTAATACACAAAATTACATAGACAAATGTTAATATTTTATTAATTCAAGACTTTTAACATGGGGTTAATTTTACACATACGAATTATATTAACATAGATTAGTACAGGGTATAATTAATGTCTACAAGTTATAGGTATAATTATATTAATTAACCTATATAATTACGTCACAATATAGGTAATCTAGGTATTGGTTATAGTTAATTACTTATTGTTATTTAAATTATATAATAAATTGGCTATCTTATATTACTATTTATACACATTCATACTTATGTGTGTATGTGTGTATGTATTTATGTGTGTATGTATATATATGTGTGAATAGATGTCTGTGTATATGTAAAGTATAAGTATGTGTGTGTGTATTAGTAAGCATGTACGTATATGCTTGCCTATGTATACTGTATGTCTATCAATCTGTATGTATGTATGTATGTATGTATGTATGTATGTATGTATGTATGTATGTATGTAACAATACCTTACTGACAGACATACAAACACACAACAGATAAGAGAGGCAGATTAGATAGAGTTTAATAAATAAATGAGAAAATATTTAATCCCAACTGAAAATAAGACATATGTATGTATGTATGTATGTATGTATGTATGTATGTATTAAATATTAAACTCGATTATTTATGTAACTGGGAAGGATTAATTAATTTATATAATCTGAAAAAAACCTGAAAGTATATGGAAATAATTATATAAATCATGATTATTTGTGTAAATTAATTATATGTACAAATTAATTATATATAACAATTAATTATATGGTCCAATTAATTATAAATACCAATTAATTATATTTTCCAATTAATTATAAATACCAATTAATTACCTTACCTTGGCGTCGTGGTGTGGTAACTGAAGCAGGAATTGTGGGTGGTGGTGGTGGTGGGATAGTGGTAGTGGTGGTAGATGGTGGTAATGTGGTGGCGATGGTGTTAGTAGTTGTGGTGGTGATTTGAGTAGTTGTAGTTGTTATTATTGTTGTTGTTGTTGGTGCCAGTGTTGTTGTAGTAGCTAGAAAAGACGGATTAATTAACTGTCATGGATTAATTTAACATCTACTTAATACAGCCTACTTATCAAGACTTATTTAACACTTAACACTAACTTAACAACCATTTAACATCCACTTAGCACTTAAAACACACTTACTTATCACAGCACACTCAGGTATCACAAGACCAGTCCAGTTACAGTTGCTACTGACGAAGGTGAAGGTGGTGTTGAAATCAGGGAAGGTACCGAGAGTGCAGGTGTACCTAGAGGTGGGGTAGATGGAGGTGTTAATTACGAGGGAACACCTGTTGAGAGAGAGAGAGAGAGAGAGAGAGAGAGAGAGAGAGAGAGAGAGAAACGATCCTTTAAAATACATATAATCACCCTTATACCTCACACTAACTCAAGTATGACCTCTTAACACTAATACTTCTCATACTTCACATTAACTCCCTAACTCCCAAGTATGACCTCGAAAAAAAACACACTTCGAGTCCCACTTGAACTTACGTGACATTGGGTGCCTGGTGAAGGGTGAGGTCATCCACATATCGAAGGCACACCAAGTTCTCTTCCTTGGTTGTCAAGTTCGAGGTCGGGGCTGGGTCAAGGGTCAGTGATTCTGGAGGATTTGGTTAGGTTAGGTTAGGTGAGGGATATACAGAGATATACACACACATATATATATACACAGGGACAAGCTGGACACACAGACACACAGACACACACACACACACACAGACACACAGACAGACACACACACACACACACACACACACACAGACACACACACACACACACACAGACACACACACACACATACACACACAGACACACACACACACACACACACACAGACACACACACACACACACACACACACACACACACAGACACACAGACTCACCTACACATCGCGGGAGTTCATCAGGAGTCGGTAACCAAGTATGATTACTCTGACACGTAAGATCTTTCGTCGTCATCAGATCAGAGAAGAGAACCGTCTTATTAACCTCTTGTGGGCATACATACTTGGCCTGTATACATAATAACACATAGAATACATAGATATGATGTTTATGTATGACAGGAGTTGTATATCCCACTGTATCAATGTATAGTTTAATAGATAATAGAATAATGTATATATACCAATGTTGATGTGAAATGGGGTGTTTGGCTGATTGATATTTGGTTACTTCCAGTGCTTGATGGATTTGCTGGGGTAGGGCACACAGCTGTAGATAGGTAGATTAGGTAGATTAGGTGGATAGGGTAGGGTAGGGTAGGGTAGGGTAGGGTAGGGTAGGGTAGGGTAGGGTAGGGTAGGGTAGGGTTGGGTTGGGTAGGGTAGGGTAGGGTAAGGTAAGGTAAGGTAGATATTCAGTAAATTTCATATCATCAATTATTTCTACTACTACTACTACTACTACTACTACTACTACTACTACTACTACTACTACTACTACTACCACTACTACTACTACTACTACTACC